TTGGGTTCAAAACATCCCAACTGCTGGGTCAAAACAACCCAATAGCTAGGTTTGTCCCTTTTTAACCCAGCGCTGGGTTATATTTAACCCAGCATTTTTTAGAGTGTACTAATTAGATTCTAATTCCCATATCAACCTCAACCAGTTGAACAAAACAAGGATTGCATTTCTTTCAAATAAATAATATAAAATTGCATTATTTAAGTATTTAAAGGGAGAAGGTTACATTAAAAACAAAAATTTTAGCATTAGATGTAAAAATCTGATGTTAAAGCCACTATTGTTTTATATAGAATTGTTCTAGTCTATACATTATTTAATGCAATTACATCAGAAGTAATTGCAATTAAATTACATATTAAGAGTAACCACTTACTTTACTTTTTCAAGGGGAAAGTAATTAAATTACAGTAATTAACCCAACACTGGTCATCATCCAGCTCAATTCAGTTCAGCTTCTGTTTGTTCTCATCCGATAGTGTCAGTGCTGGCAAATCAAAAATAATACTGAATAGCAAATAGAAATTCTCAATAATACTGAACTCAGATTTTCAGAGATCCAAAAGTCTCAATATGAACTCAAACATTCTCAAATTCCTCCAAGACCCAATGATCTGATCTATGCTATTGGCATTCATTTTGTAGCTATACATTATTCCTGCATCTCAACAATTGTCACATTTGTGTATATTTTTATTTCTTCAAAATAATGTTTAGGTGAAACATTTAAGAGAAAGTTTAAACTCCATCTACTATGCTCTGAAAGAAACCTCTGCAAAATGTTCTTCTGGGAGACTCTCAATACCTTGCTGTTTCACAGCTGTTCCACACAATCAATTTATTAGTAAAAATGAGTTGCTTACTCTTATAAACGGCATTCCACGGCTGGTAGCCATAATAGCCCGTGATTCTCAAGATCCTCTCCTCGATGGACGCGCTGTTGATGTCCTCAACCGATCGAGATGACTTCAGGTCCTCTTTAATCGATTCATCCACCACCAGGTACTTGAGCTGGCGGAGTTGGGGGCTGATGTCGGACAGCCTTCTGGGACTCACCTCGGGGGATTTACGCATTCCGCTGGAGACAAGAATACAAAGTTGGAATCGCGTTGGCTTCGAGCGCTTGACACAGAGGGTGAGGTGTGCCAGTGAGAGCGTGGCACATAAACAGACCTTCTCATTACATTGGGATTCGGATAGCCCACCTCCTTAAACAGAGGATAGGGTGTTTGTCAAACACAAACACTCTGCGTAAAACGGCTTCAGAGCGCGCGGCCTTGTTTCGGTGCGTAAAGAGGGTGGGTGCGCGAATCTTCACCCTCCACTGGCGTTACGAGCGGAGGAGGCAGAGCGGCTGAGAAATGATAACCAGACATGACTGCTGCTCCGTACAGTGTAACGCTGCTGGTGCAGTAGGCCATCATTTGGAGGTAACAATATATAATAAATAAATAAATAAATAATCTGTAAAAACAGCAAAGATTATCAAAGTACGTTTCAGTCTTTCAACTTCGAAATTTAATGTTTAATTCAATGTGTTACTTGAAATTTACTATCAATTTCAAAGTAAAAGGGTTTCAAAGTAAATCATACACCCAGTGTAGAGCATATTTTTCAAATAAATAATACTGCGAATAACAGTGATAATAACGATGGGTAATCACGTAAATATAACAACAAAACTAAAATCATTCATCCAAACATTTCGCTGAACAAACAAGCAAATAAATACTTCATTATGAATTTTAATTAAATGTGTAAGATAACATGTTGGTAGGAATAAAACAAACAAAACAAACAAACAAAACAGAAGCTGTTTTTTTGGATCATGGTGTTAGGTCATGATGTTCAAAATGAGGCTGGCAGTTACATTCGCAATACTGTACATAAGAACTGAGTGAATTAGCATTTACTAATGTAAAAAAAAAAAAAAAAGGAATTGACAGCATATGGCAAATTAGTTAAGGTCGTTTCTTCTGCTGCAGTCTATGGCCACCGGGAGGCGTGCGCGATTCAGCTTTACGCACAAACTCCACTGACGCTCCTATGGAGCAATCAACGCCGCTGTTGGTGATTTTCACAAAGGCCGTGTTAACAATCTAACTTTATTTTACAGTTTAATACAGTGATTTATCTGAAATAGTTTTTTTTTCTAATGCTTTTTGCATTACATGTAAGAGAACTGGCATTATTTCCTCCTACAGTCTCCAATGAATATATTTGACATCTACAGTATACTGTAGATAAATTAAAATGGCATTAACTTTCAGATAACTGTGAACTCTAATATCTTCCCTGTTCTTATGAACAGAAATCGTAAAGAATACCCAGATGCGCATGAGACTTATATCACCATTTATAGACTTGTGCGTAATGAGCTCAATTATTAGTTTTTTTCACACTGTCAGCACGACTGACTCTAACTGGGATTTGTTTCGAATTTTTTTCTGTCCCTGAATAGAAAGACAGCTACTACATCTGTCACGACTCAAAAGTGATGCTGAGTGAAGCTGCATCTCAACACAACACATATTTACTCATGCATATGTGGTTTTTAAAATTCTTACATGGGAATCAAGCTGGTCGGGGGTCCCAGGTAACACGTGCAGTCCCTCCGGGGGGGTCCGAGCCGGTCTCCATCTCCATACATGATCCCCATGAATGACAGCAGATCACTGCTCACACGCACAGAGACACACAGACTAGAATGGTCCGTTCACCCACTCACACACACTCCAGCCGTGGCATGTACAGATTTTCAGATAGTATCAGCTGTCACACCTCCAGCGGTTTTTCAGTTCCACAGCGCCATCTGACGGTGGACGCAGCGTCGTGCTGCATGTTTTGCTGGAGTTTGAAGTAAATAGGATAGGTTATTAGTCAGCTTTTTGATCCAAACTCGTTTAGTTCTTAGCTAGTACACAATATTTTTTAATGCAAGTACACTCAAAATGATGTTTCGAAGTCGTGGAGTACGTTTTACAAGAAAATAGCTACAATTTCAAGCTTTGTAGCCTACTTTAAATGTTCACGTTTAATGCAATGTTACTTGCCGTTTCTTTGTAAATTATTTGAGAAATTTACTAGCAATTTTTTTAAAAGTGAAAATAGTTTCAAAGCCATTTTTCTAAGTGGTTTTAACAGGATTGCAAACGTTTTATAATAATGATAAAATTAAAAGTTAGAAAAGAGAAGGTAACTATAACGCCAGTAACTTTCTACCATCTTTTTCGGACGATACGTCGCTATTAATACTGTAAATATATCACTTTAGCTATAACACATTTCCATATACCCATCCAAACTCCCCTAACGTTATAGTATTTGGTTCCCTTTTTTGGTTATTTGGGGGGAACCAAACAACAGTGTTCTGGGAATATTCTTTTTATTTTTCACAATCATAAAATAACGTTACCAGAACGTTCTTCTGGGAACCAAAAATGAATGTTGAATGTTTAAAGGCTTTTCGCTAACCAAATTATTGTTTGTGTTGCATGAGATGAACCTCTACAGACTGTGCTCTGAAAATTGAATGATCTAGCAAAAATGTTTAAAAAAAATTGTACCCACAAGTATAAAACCTGAAATCAACTACTTTGTGTGAACAATCAACAACCCTCATGAGAAAACTGCTTAATGAATATACTAAAGTATGTCTTAATAAAAGTGTTTCTTTGGAGGTTTAGGTTAGGTAGAGGATAAAAATATCATTAGCTCAGTATAAATATAGTAGATAGAAGAACAATAAGAGCTGATCCTCTGAGTAAAGGGTAACAGAAAGTCCAAAAAAATCTACGTTTCAGAAAGTCTCCAAACAAAAGGAAAGACTAATTCATCACATTACTGTGCTCTGTATTGGTTTCAGCGAACACCTCCACCATATTTTTCCACTAAGCAGTTTACGCCAAAAAAAAAACAAAAAAACATTGTGTCCTACAGTACAAGCACTCTTCAGGGGCTAAAAATAGATGACATCTACAGTGTCCCCATTATTGTATCAAATCAAATTCTGTAGTTACAGATACAAGAAAGCAGAAAAGATCCATCATTTGAATTTGATTAAAAAAAAAAAGAAATTGGTTTGCCACAGTCTCCCTCCAATACAATTTCAAAGAATAAGATAGCTAGTCTTTGTCTTTATGCTCTGTATTGGTTTCAGCTAACACCTCCACCATATTTTTCCACTAAGCAGTTTACGCCAAAAAAAAACAAAAAAAACATTGTGTCCTACAGTACAAGCATTCTTCAGGGGCTAAAAATAGATGACATCTACAGTGTCCCCATTATTGTATCAAATCAAATTCTGTAGTTACAGATACAAGAAAGCAGAAAAGATCCATCATTTGAATTTGATTAAAAAAAAAAAGAAATTGGTTTGCCACAGTCTCCCTCCAATACAATTTCAAAGAATAAGATAGCTAGTCTTTGTCTTTAAGGAAAATATCTGCAGGTGTAGTCTTTCAGACACTAAATGCCATAGTTAACACGTGTCAAATGAGTTTGATAGCTGGTCAGAATCATGACGGTTGAGACTTTGTGAGACGGCAGGATGAAATTGTCTGGCTGTCTCCCGCAGAAACCCACCCACAGGGCTGTATGGTATCCAATCTATGTCACAAACAGTTTTCATGGTGACTATTCTTGTTAGAATCAAATCTGAAGAGAGTACATCCTGTTTTAGTACAGTTATGGTCTACTTATTATTTCTAATTTGGGCTATAGCATGCTTGTTGACTGTATATTATTGTCTGTTGTCGAGTTTACCAAGGCAGCTTGTAGTAAGTAGAACTAGAAATGCTTTGGTTTGTGTGTTGAGATAAGCTGGACTTCTATCATTCATGTTTTATAGAGACGTGCTGGGTTTCACAGCAGACCCTTTACACCCATATTTAAAGACATAAATTAAATGCTCATCCTTTGTGGCTGTGTTTTCGTCCTACATTTCTTGATGTGGCTGGTCTGTCTTGTATTTAGGTCACCAGCTTTCCATGTTGCCATGTAACTGAAGACGCTGTCTGCTGATGGGCTCTCAACTGGCCCTTGAGTCCAAAACCCAGCATCCATGTTCAGCTCTGAGAAACATGAAACATGCATCATACAGTACAGCTACACAACTAATCTGACTACAAATAATGGGAGTTGTGCTTCAGTGCTGGTGGCAGTCACTGATAGCATCGGCTGAAAGCCATCAAGTTAATCTTGAACTGAGAATTATGCAAAATTTTCACCCGTCTGTTTGATTTATTTCTTTGGTTTTTATGCGGCATGTGCAGCTACAGTAGTACAAATAGATGCCAATCTGGTATTACAGAACAAATTTCAATTTCAAGCTTTTATCGTCCGTATTAAATTGTCCATTATCATCCATATTAAAATATGAATAATTCATGACCTGAATGCAGCAACAGGTTCACAGTCGGTAACCATGTGGTCACACTTTTGCAATCTAAAAAAAAAGAGCATTTGAATCTGCCATAATCTTTTCTTTCCAAATGTGTAAACAGCTCTCTGTGCAGTTGTTCAGTGTTCATTTTGACTTTTGTTTATCAAAGTCAGATATGAAATGATTTGTGACTATATAAAGAGCTGTATAGTACAAAGCTTATGTGTTTTATTTGAAACTGTTGAATTTGATAACGTCTGAATGAAGAACAGGCAATGTTTCTGCACTATAAATCGAGGTGGCCTGCGGTGCAAAAGAAAGAGTCCAGAGCAGCTATAATTTATTGAGGCCTCCTTCAATAGGGTCTTCTTCATGAGCACAGAGATTAAAGGAAACCAGGACAGGCAGAATCAGAGGACTCTGGGTACAAAAATTGAAATGCAGAAGTGAAGCGGTCAAAAAAATAGAGCAAGAGGAGAAAAGGTGAACTGAGAGTACAATGGCGTTTCGCTAAATTCACAAAATGAGAAGTATAGAAATATGCAGTATATATGTACATAGGGGTCCAAAAGTCTTTTGAAATGTCACAATGCAACAATTACAAAATAATGTTTTGGTTTGTCCTTTTTTTTTTAGTTTTTTTTTGCTTTAATGCTGTATGAACTCTCCAAGTTTGTTCTCCAGCATGATTTGAGATGCTCCAAAGAGCATCTTGTGGTTCTGCACAAAGGAGTTCATATAACCATAGCCAAAATTTGCTTTATTTTGACCTAGAAAAAGTGCATAAATGTGCACTTTTTTTGTACTGTGTTGTACTCTGTTTACTGAAAGGTTCAAATGAAACAAAGCAAAAAAAATAAATTTGACCATACTTACCATATCCAGTAGATATAGTGATATGTGCAGCAGAATTCAATATGTACAGTACCATTTAGTGTCAGTATAAGACAAGAAAAGTGACATAAACAACATTTATGTTAAAATAAATTATCATTTTTAATTTAAAAAATTTATAATTAAAAAAAATAACTTTCTATTCATCAATTAATTATTTTTTTTAGGATTATGACAGTCTTAACATCACGATTTTCACAAAAATATTAAGCAACAACCGTTTTCAACACTGATAATAAGAAATGTTTCTTGAGCAGCAAATCAGCATATTAAAATGATTTCTGAAGAATCATGTGACTGAAGACTGGAGTAATGACTGCTGAAAAATCAGCATTGCCATCAGAGGAAAAAATACATTTTATAATACATTAAAATAGAAAGAGTTATTTTAAATTGCAGTAAAATTTCACAATATTGCTGTTTTATATTTTGATTTTTGATCAAATAAATGCAGCCTTGGAAAGCATAAGAGACTTCTTACAATCCCAAACTTTTTAACTGTATAGTATTTATGTATATTTAGGGTATGTGTGTATAAAATAGACATAATAAGATACAGACAGACATTCATATATATATATATATATAAATAAAACAATCATATCCTAATTTTATAAAATACTTATACTTAAAATAGTAAATACAAAAGAAATATACAAAGTAGATAAAGTTAGTTGATACTGATAGCGCATTTATAGGCAAGCAAAATATAGATAGCAGCCCATGAAATTGTGACAGATGGAAAGCAAAATTAAATGGTGGTGAGAGAAGAGAGCAGATAAAGTGGGAAGCAGATGAAGGCATGACAGGTCGAGTCACGGCCACCAAAACAGCAACAGGAGAAGGATGGCTAGAAACAGTGCTGTGGGATAGAAGAATGCTAATGATCATAATTAAATGACTAGCTTAACCCCAGCAGTAAGATTTCCCTCAAATTTCACTGACAAAACATTTGGTATAAACAGCATCTTGCTTGTTTCAAGCAATGTGCTTCCTCCATCACATAATTCAACAGCACAATGTAAATACTGAGCTTGTGTAAATATTTAATATGTAATATTTAATGGATGGAGGTATGCATAGTGACAGGCTTCTCTACTCTCTGAGTTGAAGTGTAAGACTGTAAGAGCAGGATGGTGGGTATCAGAGCCCAGGAGTATCACCACAACACTGATCCCCCTCCTCCTGTGAGATTCACAAGTGACACAAAGCTGAGTGCAGCAGATGATATGCTGTCAGGAAGAGAGAAACGAAGACCGAGAAACACTGAAAGACATGTTAAATGGCACTCAGCGGAGAGCTGAGTTAAAAATGAGAATATTTTTACCTGTCCTACTGTAAGAGAGAGGAATCAATGCACAGATCTCTGCAAATCTCTCTCTCTCTTTATTTTTT